GAAAGTTTGGGTAGGTGAATGGGACCCTTGCATGGTTGGACTAGTGAGCCTGAGGGGCAAAGGACATGGCTCAATCCATATGAGCTGGGGAGGGGGAGGGGGTTATGAACTCTTTAAGGTATTTTCCCAAGTTAATACCATGTGACTTCTCTCTCTCTTTCATTAGAAGATTCTTTTCTACCTTCAGATTCTGTGCTTGCCTCTCACAGGCGCCCAGGCTACTGGGTGGGGGTTCAAGCCGGTTCTGTGTGGGATGGATGAAAAGGAACCCCTAGATATTGAACCCAGCCCTGGCTGCTGCCAGCACTTCTTGGCTGAATGGTTACACTGACAGTGCTCTAACTTAAAAACCAGGTTCTGCAAAGCCTGCATTTGGGCCTTTTTTCTCCTCTGCGCAGGTTCCAGTGTAGCTCCAGGTTTCAGATCTCCGTGAGGGGTGAGCAGAGATGGCCGGTGTCCTTATTCCTTCATTTGCAGGCCTTCTAATTGACAGGAACTGCCATTTGGTTTTGGGAAGAGGAATTCAGGGCCTGAACTCTCAGTTCTGTTTTGTCGCAGCGCTGGGGCAGCCTGACGGGGATTTAGTGTAACTGAGGCTCTCCCTAGTTCCTCGGTACCTTCCCCCACCTCAGAGCTCCACAGCTCCACCTTGCCCCATCTTCCTCAGGCCCCCTCCCTGGCTTATCCTCATCCCCCTTAAACACCCTAATTTGCCCCCAAAGCTCTTCTCTCCCCAGCTATCTCTAACTTCCTCCCTGCCACAGCAGGAGCAGCCACCAGCTTTCTTCCGTGCGAGGCAGGAGCAGAGTGGGGTGTTTAGTTAGTGGTGTCGGACCCTGCCCAGCAGTGGCAGGGCTGCAGGAGAGACGCTATCTGCCGCGGGTGCTGGCTGCCAAACCACTGGGGAAGTGACTGCTCAGCCCTTCCCTTCGCCTAGCTGATAACGGCAGGGCCACAACCAGTACCAATCTCGTCATCCCAGGGCCGAAGGGGGCAGCCGTTCGGTGCTCCACGCCACACAACTCCCACGATTTTTCCAAAATCGTGGACATAAGATGAGTGCCACAGAGTGTCAGGATTTCTTTAGTACCACGCGCCCTGCCAGAGAAAGGGAGCAGGGCCGTGGCTCCCCAGAAACACCGCGCCATAAAAACAGTGAGTCAGCTCCCCTCCCCCACCACCCCGAGCTCCCCAGCCTGGGGAAGCCCAAACCGGAACCCTCACGGGTGGGACAGTGGGTCAGCTCCCCTCCCCCACCACCCCGAGCTCCCCAGCCTGGGGAAGCCCAAACCGGAACCCTCACGGGTGGGGGTGGCTGGTCCCCAATAAACCTGCCTGGGCGTAAAGCTAATGGAAACTCTTAGGCTAAGCCTACATGGCCACTGTACTGCGCTGCAACATTCTGGCTCATAGGGTGAGAAACACCTCCCCCTTCCCGAGCACAGCAAGTCCCGGCGCTATAACAGTGTAAACGGGCTCCCAGAGAAACACGCCCTCCCCCCCAGCACAGCAAGTCCCAGCGCTATAACAGTGTAAACGGGCTCCCAGCACTGGCGGCTGCTCCCCTCCTGGAGGTGGTTTACTTAGAAGGCTGGGAGAGCCCCTCTCCCCCTGCACTCCAGTCATGGCCACGGTTCACTGGAATGTGCTGCCCTGGCTGTGCCCTTATTTTAGAAATGCAGCCAAAGCCCAAGCAGCTCAAATGCATCCAACCCCCAAGAGCCAGCAGCCCCACCCTCTGGCAGCAGCGTGGTGCAGTTGATCAGGGGACGTACCTTCCACAGACTGGACTGGTGCACCCTGCGTCCCGCTCCTGGAGCCCCTGCAGAGTCCGGGGAACCAATATTTGCAGCTGAAACAAATTCGGCGTTTAGGGAAACTCTCAGGGCTTTACTTCAGGAGCTGTGGGTCCAGGGAACCAATCTTTGCAGCTGGAACAAATTCAGCGTTTAGGAGAAACTCTCAGGGCTTTACTTCAGGAGCTGAACCCAGAGAAGGAACTGACTTTCTCCTAGCGATTGAAGAGGTTGCAGGGATAGTGAGGTGGTGGGTTAGAGCTGAAAAGGGAGAAGCTTTTTGTAATTAGGGGTAGGGCCAGATTTGATCCCTCCCCTACCGGAAACAGAGTTTAGATAAACCCTGTCCAGTTTTACTGTTCATTTCCCTTTTCTTTGTCTCAGCTGCAGGGTGAATCATTCCTTCCGGGCAGCAGCCTTCTGCCACATCTGAAATCCCAAACTCTCTGCACACATTAACTACCTGGTGCATAAAGAGAAACATGGGAAATTGTTCCCTTGCCGAGATGTCTCCCCCTCTCAGAGATCAGGAGGGGGTCTGATTCTCTACCACAGAATCGTAAAACTGGAAGGGACCTCGAGAGGTCATCAGGTCCAGTCCCTGCCCTCATAGCAGGACCAAGCGCCATCTCGACCATCCCCAATAGGTGTCTGTCCAACCTCCTGTCATAACCAAGAGACCTGGAGTTGACCAGCAGCCTGGTGACTAAGGGGTTAACTATATCTCCTGTTCCTATCCAGGTATCTGGTCTGTCAATAGCAATGCAGGTAGGGATTTCAAACCGGGACAGAGGAATTTTTAACTTTTCCCTCCTTTGTCTGAGTTAGAGGGTTTCTTTCCCAAGAAACAGGGAGCTAGGAAGGCCCGTCTCTCTCCAAGAAAAGTCTTCTCGCAATGTGTAAGTAGGTTAAAGTTTAGTTAGACCATCAGGTTTTATTGATTTCTGGTTTGGGGATTTGGAACTGAGGTCTGTGCTGTTAGAAATGTTTTTTTCTTTCTTTGAACGTGTTTTCCCCCCTCTCTTTTGTAATTAAGTTTTGAGCCCATGGGAGGTTCCCCCACGAGTATATTAATTAGTGGCTCTTACCATCTAGCCACCTCAACTATGCTTGCAACAGGAATTTTGTTTTGATAATAAAAGTTTGTTTTCTTTTTCTTACTAACCGGTATTAGTTCATTTTTGTGTTCTGAGAGGTCTGTCGGTCTGACTAGGAGTCAGCTACCACAGAGTGCAGCTTATTTTCTCTCATCTTTCCAAGCTCTACGGGGAAAAGAGCTTGAGGTACCCTGATTTTTAGGGAGGGGATTCCCCAAGTGATCTGGTCCCTGGTTTTCTTGGAATACTTGTGTGGTGGCAGTGGATAGTCTCCAATGTCGAGGTATTAGGATTTTGGGGAAAAGCTTTTTGTACCAAAGCCTGTAAAGACAAGGTTTGGGGGTGCTTTGGCTTCCCCCTCACTTCTGCATTCGTCATGCCAAAGTGCGGAACAGCCTTGACACCTGCTCTTCAATATCTCCTGTGATGGAGATTCCACAGTCTCCCTGGGCAATTTATTCCAGTGTTTAACCACCCTGACAGGAATTTTTTCCTAATGTCCAACCTGAACCTCCCTTGCTGCAGTTTAACCCCATTGCTTCTTGTCCTGTCCTCAGAGGCCAAGGAGAACAATGTTTCTCCCTCTTCCTTGTAACATCCTTTTACATACTTGAAAACTGCTCTGATGTCCCCTCTCAGTCTTCTCCTTTCCAAACTAAACAAGCCCAATTCTTTCAGCTTCAGAGGTTTATGAGGAGGAGCAATCACTCCAGCTGGTACAAGATAGAGGAGAAGAGGCCAAACCCAGAACCACCCTGATTTAAACTGACTGTGGATCAGTCCTAGACATTTCAGTACCCCCAGGAGGGCGAGTCACTAGATCAGGGTTAAAAATTCCAAGGTGCCAAAGTGACATACTTCCCGCCCGCTTTTGCATAAGAAGATTTACAGTACGGTGTCAGAAGAGAGGGCTTCTTGTGCAAGAGCTACGCTCTTTTCTAACAGGTGTAAGCCCTCTTGTGCAGGAGCTCTTATGCAGGAAGGCAGTGTGGATGTGCGACAGGGCTTTCTTGCACAAGAAAGCCCTATGGCTAAAATGGTCATCAGAGATTTCTTGTGCAAGAGAGCGTCCACACTGCCTGGATGCTCTTGTGCAAAGTCTATGGCAGTGTGGATGTGTTCTTGTGCAAGAGTACTTGTGCAAGAACCCACCAGTGTAGACATAGCCCCGTCACTGGAAATTACTGAGGCTAATCTGTGGAACTCCCTGCCACTGGATTTCTCTCTCTGAACGTAGTCATCACGAGCCACACAGAGGTTTCATTTAAGTTATATGTGAATTTATTACATGGTACAGCTATCTCGGTGAGAGCAGCAATCATAAAGCACCAATATTCAAATTATTGATAAAGTAGCAATGCAGTTGCAATGGTGATAGATTATATAGAATTTATCTTTTATGCCCAATGCGTAGCAATGTGCTGGCTTGTCCAAGTGCTCACCCAATTACGGCATTATGAGATTATCACACAATTATGGGATTAGGATCAAACTGCTCTTTGGATCAACTGATGCCAAACCCAGCACCATTACACTTCATACATGCGTGTGGCTAACTCTTGTGACGCCTGCAGTATTTGGATTTCCCGTTACCCATTCTGGAGTTGTATGATCATTGGAGAATTTTTGTTTTTACTTAAAACATATTTTCCAGCCTTAGTTTTAGTGGCTCTGCAGAATAGCAGGAAAAGTGGCCCAACGAAGCCTCAAAACGGGAGACAAACGAAGCAAAATGTTTTTTCAGTTGCATGATGTTTGAACATTCCCGGTCGATGTTACTGGGAAATGCTTGTTCCAGCGACCTCGCTGATTTGTAGCCCTGCTGATATGTACAAACTGCCCGTTGGCTTTACTTCTTCACTTCCAAGTCTGCTCCAGGCACTGGCTGGCCGGTCAAGCAGGCCAGATACTAAAGAGACACCAGCTGAAGGCAAAGTTGGTTCTGATACCGAGTTACATCCACTGAGGATCGTGGCGCATTCGGTTGGGTTTCCTGCATTAGATGTTTTGGCTGCTCCAAGAGTTCATCAGAAAACTTAGAAACTAGATACTCATGATAGGAAATTAAAGAATGAAAAAGCTGCTTTCTTTTAGCTTTCCAGCTGGGATTGAGTATCTCATCCACGAACACGTCTGCTGATCACTGAAGCTTTTTCCTGCCTTCCCCCAAAGCCGTCTGCCGAACTCTTTTGGCATCTTCAGCCATTTCATTGACAAAGTGCAACATCATGAAGTAAGTGGTTGCAAAAGACATTCCTGCGGCTAACAGGGGTCCAGCGATTGGTATGTTTGCAATTAATGCCGGGACAGCCTTCTCCTTTAGCAGCAGTTTGATGACAACATCATTGGTTATTTTGTCAGCCTCAGGACATGTGATAACAGCCTTCAGCTCTGCGATGGGCTTCCCACACTGCCTGGCCAGCGCAGCCAAGGAGCCGTCGTCTAGGCCGAAGTACTTGTAGAAGCCGATCATGGAGCCTATCAGGATGCTGATATCACAAGCAACTGAGAGCCGTGGGATTGGCACAGCATTGACTAAAGCCGACCCCAGGGATATGAGCCACACCAGCTTCTGCAGAGCAGCTTCCTTCTCGTTGATGATGTCGGCAGACAGGTTTGGGAGACTGAGCAGGAAGGCGAGTCTCTGCAGGCTTGGGAGATCATCCCGCAAAGCCCTGAGCAGAGCAGGAGCATCGTACTGCGAGAAATCACAGCTGGAGAGAAGGAAAATCTCAGGATGGCTCATTCCTGCCCTTTGCAGGTTCTCCCTGCAGTCTGCCTGGAGTCGCTGCAGGACCATCTCCCGACGGAACGTCCTGGGGCGATCCCTTTCTTCATTGCGCAGGTCTTCGTCTACCTTGGAGCGCACAAAATAGAACCTCTTGCCCATCCTCCCGATCTCCTGGGCCAGGGCAGCGTGGCTGAATTTGAAGCGCTCCGAAGCAACGATCACGAAGAAATCGTAGGTCTTGAAATTCACTTTACGCAGGTATGTGTGTGGGTGGAAATCCGGGCCCCTGATGCCAGGCAGGTCCCACAGCCTCACGTTGGGGTGGTTCGGGTGCGGATAAACAGTTGGCTGCTTTGTCGTTTCTGTCACCCCAGTGGGGGCAGCCCCGTCGTCCTCCGCCGTCAGGCCCCGCAGGGCGTTGATGAAGGACGATTTCCCCGCCCCCGTCTCTCCCGTGACTGCGATGTTGAGCATGGTGGATTTGAACGAGTCCAGCTCTGCCTGTGTGATAGAAGCCACGTCAGCCTGCCCTTTGTCTTGGAACAGATCCATGAACTCCTCAAACACCTTTATGGTGCCATTGAACAGATCCTTTGGCTCCAACCTGAGATCTAGGGCTTCCATGTGAGCTGAGATTAACTCCACGCCATTCATGAGCTCAGAGACGGACTCCAGACCCTTCATGAACGCGGAGACGGACTCCAGATCCATGGCACCTGCAAGAGAGCCCCTCTTCCCAAGAAAAGAAAAGGAAAAGGGGTGTTTCAGGGAGTGAAAATGTAGTCTTAAAAACACACAGCAGCTCACAAAGCACCCTACACACGTGCAGCAGGGAGCCGGTTTCACCCTCACTAGCGTGTGTGCTGAAAACTGCCGCCCTGGCCCCAAGGTGCTGATGAGAATTTGATTCTAGGCCAAAGTTTTGACACAGAACATTGACGGCTTGTGTTTGTACAGCCAGAAAGTTTCCACTTCTGGTGTCTCAATGTCTACTGGCATGATACACCCTGCCCCCCAGATTGTCTGACGCTTCCCACAGCTGTGGACATTTAAATCGACAAAAATATTTGAAGCCCAAATTTTATGCAATTGGGAAACCTGAAATCACTCAACGTGCAATAAACACTTACACCCCAGACATTGCTATAAAGTACAACCAGGTTCTGCCAAGCCACATCGGGGCCTTTTTCCCCCTCTGCATTGGTTCCAGGGTTTCAAATCTCCAGGACGGGTGGGGAGAGATGGCTGGTGTCCTCAATCCCTTGTTTTCAGGCCTTATAAGTTATAGGAACTGCCGTTGGGTTTTGGGAAGAGGAATTCAGGGTCTGAACCCACAATTCTGTTTCATCACAGCACTGGGGCAGCCTGACGGGGATTTAGCATAGCCGTGACACTTCCTAGTTCCTTGTACCTTCCCCCACCTCAGAGCTCCACAGCTCCACCTTGCCCCCGTCTCCCTCAGGCCCCCTCCCTGGCTTCTTCTCATCCCCCTTGAACTCCCTAATTTGCCCCCAAAGCCCATCTCTCCCCAGCTACCTCCAAGCTTCCTCTCTGTTGCAGCAGGAGCAGCCACCAGCTTTCTTCTGTGCGAGGCAGGAGCAGAGTGCGGGTGTTTAGTTAGCGGGGTCGGACCCTGCCCGGCAGTGGCAGGGCTGCAGGAGAGACGCTATCTGCCGCGGGTGCTGGCTGCCAAACCACTGGGGAAGTGACTGCTCAGCCCTTCCCTTCGCCTAGCTGATAACGGCAGGGCCACAACCAGCCCTGGAAACTGTTCAGAGCCTCTGACCGCAATGGGAAGCTGGTGTGTTATAAGCAAAACTCGTGAAGTCATTCTGTCGCTCTACTCTGCACTAGTTAGGCCTCAGCTGGAGTACTGTGTCCAGTTCTGGGCGCCACATTTCAAGAAAGATGTGGAGAAATTGGAAAGGGTACAGAGAAGAGCGACAAGAATGATTAAAGGCCTAGAGAACATGACCTATGAAGCCAGGCTTCATGAACTGGGCTTGTTTAATTTGGAAAAAAGAAGATTAAGGGGGACATGATAGCGGTTTTCAAATATCTAAAAGGGTGTCACAAGGAAGAAGGAGACGTCTCCCTCAGGCCCCCTCCCTGGCTTCTTCTCATCCCCCTTGAACTCCCTAATTTGCCCCCAAAGCCCATCTCTCCCCAGCTACCTCCAAGCTTCCTCTCTGTTGCAGCAGGAGCAGCCACCAGCTTTCTTCTGTGCGAGGCAGGAGCAGAGTGCGGGTGTTTAGTTAGCGGGGTCGGACCCTGCCCGGCAGTGGCAGGGCTGCAGGAGAGACGCTATCTGCCGGGTGTGGTAGCTGCCAAACCCCTGGGGAGGTGACTGATCGGCCCTTCCCCTCGCCTAGTTGATAACAGCAGGGTCACAACAAACCTGGAAACTTGTTCCACTGGAATCCAGTGTTCAGAGCCTCTGACCGCAATGGGAAGCTGGTGTGTTATAAGCAAAACTCGTGAAGTCATTCTGCCGCTCTACTCTGCACTAGTTAGGCCTCAGCTGGAGTACTGTGTCCAGTTCTGGGCGCCACATTTCAAGAAAGATGTGGAGAAATTGGAAAGGGTACAGAGAAGAGCAACAAGAATAATTAAAGGTTTAGAGAACATGACCTATGAAGCCAGGCTTCATGAACTGGGCTTGTTAAGTTTGGAAAAAAGAAGATTAAGGGGGGACATGATAGCGGTTTTCAAATATCTAAAAGGGTGTCACAAGGAAGAAGGAGAAAATTTGTTCCTCTTGGTTTCTGAGGACAGGACAAGGAGCAATGGGCTTAAAGTGCAGCAGGGGAGGTTTAGATTGGACATTAGGAAAAAATTCCTAACTGTCAGGGTGGTCAAATATTGGAATAAATTGCCAAGGGAGGTGGTGGAATCTCCCTCTCTGGAGATATTTAAGAACAGGTTAGATAGACATCTGTCAGGGATGGTGTAGACGGAGCGGGGGGTAGCTGCCAAACCACTGGGGAGGTGACTGCTCGGCGCTTCCCCTCGCCTAGTTGATAACAGCAGGGCCAGAACAAACCCTGGAAACTTGTTCCACTGGAATCCAGAGTTCAGAGCCTCTGACCCCAAGGGGAAGTTGGTTCCCTGTCACCAGGGTGGGGGGATGCCCGGGCACCTCAAGCCAAAATTTCAGCCACCTAGAAACCTGCCTCGTAAGCGCTGAGAGTCCCGCTGAACCTTGCGACCAATCCCGTCGTCTCAGGGCTGAAGGGGGCAGCAGTTTGGTGCTCCACGCCACACAACTCCCACGATTTTTCGAGAACTATGGACATAGGATGAGTGCCACAGAGTGTCAGGGTTTCTTTAGTACCACGCACCCTGCCAAAGGCTGTGGCTCCCCAGAAATGGCGCGCAATAAAAACAGTGAGTTGGCTCCCCTCCCCCACTGCCCCGAGCTCCCCAGTCTGGGGAAGCCCAAACCAGAACCCCCATGCGTGGGGGTGGCTGGTCCCCAAGGGAATGCATGGGGGGGGCATGCTAAAACTCCCTGGGCCTAAAGCTAATGGAAACTCATAGGCTAAGTCTACACGGCCACTGTACTGCACTGCAACTTTCTGGCTCATAGGGTGTGAACCCCGCCCCCCCCCACCAGCACAGCAGGTCCCAGCGCTATAACACGCCAGGCCAGTGTAAACGGGCTCCCAGCACTGGTGGCTGCTCCCCTCCTGGAGGTGGTTTACTTAGATATCTGGGAGACCTCCGCCCCCGCACTCCAGTCATGGCCACAGTTCACTGGAATGTGTTGCCACGGCTGTGCCTTTATTTTAGAAATGCAGCCAAAGCCCAAGTGGTTCAAATGCAACCAACCCCCAAGAGCCAGCAGCCCCGCCCTCTGGCAGCAGCATGGAGCAGTCGAGCTGGGGACGTACCTTCCACAGACTGGACTGGTGCACCCTGAATCCCGGTCCTGGAGCCCCTGCAGGGTCCACGGAACCGATATTTGCGGCTGGAACAAATTCGGCCTTTAGGGGAAACCCTCAGGGCTTTACTTCAGGAGGTGAACCAAGAGGAGGAGCTGACTTTCCCCTAGCGAGTGAGGTGGTTGCAGGGATAGTGACGTGATGGGTTAGGGCTGAGCAGGAAGCGGCTTTTTGCAGTCCGGAGTGGGACCAGATTCTAGATAAACCCTGTCCAGTTTTACTGTGCATTTCCCTGTTCTCTGTCACTGCAGGCCCTCTTCTGTTCTCCCTCGGGCAGCTGCTGCCTGCCATGCAGAGCGTATCCCTGAAACCCCAAACTCTCCGCACACAGAAACTGCTGGTGCACAAAGAGAAACATGGGAAATTGTTCCCCTGCCAAGATGTCTCCCCCTCTCAGAGATCAGGCCCTAGTCTGATTCTCTACCACAAAATCCTAGGGCTGGAAGGGGGCTCGAGAGGCATCAATCCAGTGCCCTGCCCTCATGGAAGGACCAAGCATCGTCTAGATCATCCCTGACAGGTGTCTGTCCAACCTGCTCTTAAATATCCCCAGTGTTGGATATTGTACAACCTTCCCAGGCAATTTATTCCAGTGTTTAGCCACCCTGACAGGCAGGACGTTTTTACAAGTGTCCAACCTAAACCTCCCCATCCTCAGAGGCCAAGAACAATTTTTCTCCCTCCTCCTTGTAACACCCTTTTAGGTACTTGAAAGCTGTTACAATGTTTCCCCTCACTCTTCTCTTTTCCAGGCCAAACAAGCCCACTTGTTTCAGTCTTCCCTCCTAGCTCATGTTCTCTAGCCCTTGAATCATTTTTGTTGCTCTTCTCTGCACCTTCTCCAGTTTCTCCACATCTTCCTTATAATGTGGTGCCCAGAACTGGACACAAAACTCCAACTGAGGCCTAATCAGCATGGAGTCAAGCGGAAAAAAGACTTCTTGTGTCTTGCTCACTCCTCTAAAAGCTTTCTTTTCTGTTCTCCTCTTTATTTAATTAGCTTTTAAAACGTATTTAATTTTTAGTTCTTTTTAAGCCTCATCCTACCTTCAGCAACAAGCTTTCTTTGCTTTCATTACCTCCTCTTTTATTTAATGACCCTTTTCATTTTCTTACAGGGCAACAAAACTATTCTTTTTACAGCACCCTTCTCTCTCCTAGGGCTTTCCCTTCTTTTTCTCCTTTAAACCTAATGTATCCACTAATTTCATTTTTTTCTCTTTTTCAAATTTTTTCTTCTTACCCAACAAGCTTTCTTTCCTTTCATAATCTCTCTTCTTACTCCGCCTAAATCAAACTTTCAATTTTTCAAACTCCTTTCCTCTAATGACTCTCTAAAAAAGCAACCAAATGTGTCCAAACAGAAGCACGCTACATCCCTTGCCCAAACACTGAAATAACCTTTTCTCATATTTCAAAAATGAGCCTTTTTCAAAATGGCCAGTGACACCAAATGCAGACATGACTGGAAATGGAGGTGAAGAAGACGATGGTATAAGTGTCAATATTTGTGTGGTGATGAATACTATTGAGGTTATACCACTGGGGGATTTCAACTATCCCATATTGACTGGATACACATCACCCGAGGACGGGATGCAGAGAGAAAAATTCTTGACGCCTTAAATGGCTGCTTCTTGGAGCAGCTGGTTCTGGAACCCACAAGAGGAGAGTCAAAGTTACAGCAAATTTTTTAAAGTGCATCAGAAGCAGGAAGCCGGCTAAACAATCAGTGGGGCCCCTGGATGATCGAGATGCTAAAGGAGCATTCAGGGATGACAAGGCCATTGCAGAGAAACCAAATGAATTCTTTGAATCAGTCTACACGGCTGAAGCTGTTTGCCAGATTCCCAATCCTGAGCCATTCATTTTAGGTGACAAATCTGAGGAAACTGTCACACACTGAGGTGTCACTAGAGGAGGTTGTGGAACAAAGGGTACGTCTACACTACAGCGCTAGTTCGAACTAACTTAGTTCGAATTAGTTAATTCGAACTAAGCTAGTTCGAACTAACGCATCTAGAACTAAAAACTAGTTCGAACTAGCGTTTTGCTAATTCGAACTAGCAAGTCCACATTGAGTGGACTCTGAACAGGGCTTAAGGATGGCCGGAAGCAGTGCCGGCAGGGCATCAGAGGAGGACTTAGAGCGTGGAGATGCTGTCTCAGGCTAGCCGAGGGCTGCGCTTCAAGGGTCCCGAACCCCACCCCGGACAGACAGTTCTAAGGGGTGCCCCGCTTGAAAACCAGTCCTGGCTTGGAGTGCCCGGAGTGCCCACACTGGGCACATCACACCACTCGGCCATCAGCCCGGTTGCACTTGCCGCAGGCTGCCATCTGGGGAGAGGGGGCAATTGGGGGGCTGCAGGAGAGCTTCCCCCCCCAGAAGCCCGCAGAGCCAGCCCAGTCCTCTCCATCGGGGGCGTGTACCCCATTCCTCCCTCCCCTCCTTCCACTTACCCTTCCCTAGCCCCTTTTCTTGATGTACAAAATAAAGGACAATTGTGTTCAAAAATGGAATCTGTCTTTATTGAACAAAACTGGGGGAGACTGGGAAAAGGAGGTGGGAGAGGAGAAGAGAGAGGCTGGGAGAGGGGAGGGCAACTAACATGATCAGGGGTTGGGAACAGGCCCCAGATGAAGAGAGGCTACAGAGACTGGGACTGTTCAGCTTAGAAAAGAGGAGACGGAGGGGGGACAGAATAGAGGTCTCTAAAAGCAGGGATTGGGTGGAGAGGGTGCATTCAGAAAAGTTCTTCCTGAGTTCCCATAAAGAAGGACTAGAGGACACCAAAGGAAAGGAATGGGTAGCAGGCTTGAAACTAGTAAGAGAAAGTTGTTGTTCTTCCCAAAGCAAATAGTTAACCTGCGGAACTCCTTGCTGCAGGAGGCTGTGAAGGCTACAACTAGAACAGAGTTGAAAGGGAAGTGAGATCAAGTCATGGAGGTTGGGTCCATGGAGTAGTCTTAGCCAGGGGGTAGGAGTGGTGTCCCTGCCCAAAGTTTGTGGAAGGCTGGAGAGGGATGGCACGAGACAAATGGCTTGGTCACTGTCTTCGGTCCATCCCCTCCAGGGTCCCTAGGGTTGGCCGCTGTCGGCAGACAGGCTACTGGGCTAGATGGACCTTAGGTCTGACCCAAGACGGCCATTGTAAGCTCAGGGCTCAGAGTCGGGGGGCTCAGTGGTCCCCCTTGATTTTCATGCACACCTGCTCTTGGGTGGCCAGGCTGGCAGCTCTCCTGCCCTAGACGGCCACTTTCCTGTGCCTAGTGCGGAGATCGTGGACGAGGTCCACGATGTCCG